AAGAGAAAGTCGAAACAGGAGTTTGACACCAGGTGGAGGATTCAAGGCAAAGGCTGCAACAAGTCAAGAACCAAGCTTGGATTGTGTAGAGATTGAGGTTGATATCAATCCAACAGGAGAATTAACGTCATCGGTAAGCGGTGATTGCTCTGGTCTGCCTTTTGCGAGAGGGAAGTTAAGGTGATTTCTCAAGGGTATTTTACTCTATATTTTTCAACAATCGGTGTCGGGTTGCAGTAGGCGTGCTTCAACAGTCCTCTGTGAATTATTCCTTGTTTGGAGAAGTACTGATGCTTAATCCTCTTTTTTCTTTTTCTTTTTTTCCATCTATCTTACCATTCTATGGTTGTTATTCTTTGTTGGTTTGTGGGTCCATACTGAAACAACAACTTCCATCATCCTGTAGAAAACCATCCAAATGGCCCGATCGGCACTGATTGAGACGACAGAGACGGGTGCTTTTATCCGAACTCCATCAAGCTTCCGCAATTTTATTTCGAAAGACAAGACATCCCAGTTTCCTGCAGAAGCTGGAAGATACCATCTTTATATGTCATATGCATGCCCATGGGCATCCAGATGTCTATCAGTTATCAAGCTCAAGGGCCTTGAGAAGGCAATCACTTACACAGTATATTCTCTTTAATCTCATCATCTTTGTATTTTTTTCGTAGATAATATAATATCTTAAATCACATATTTATATCTTATAGTCGGTCAAACCAAAGTTCGAGAGGACCAAAGAGACCGACGACCATCATGGTTGGGTTTTTCCAGTTTCTGAGGATGAAGAACCTGGGGCTGATCTTGATCCTTTGAATGGAGCTAAAAATATCAGGGAATTGTATGAGCTTGTCAATGTAAATTACTCTGGGAGATACACTGTTCCTGTAGGTATCTCATTTTAGTGTTTGGTTGCCCAAGCTCTTAGTGTTATTTATTTTACTACTAAAGTTTACTTTTCTTACATGTCAGGTTCTTTGGGATACAAAATTGAAGACAATTGTGAACAATGAGAGTGCAGAGATAATCCGCATGTTTAACAGTGAATTCAATGAAATAGCGGAGAATGCTGATCTGGATTTATACCCCTCTCCCCTTCAGTCAAAGATTGACAATGTCAACGAATGGATTTATGACGCGATAAACAGTGGTGTTTACAAGTGTGGTTTTGCTCAGAAACAAGGGCCTTATAATGAGGTAATTGGATCAGTTGTTAACTAGTGGTGTGCAGATCATTTAAGTAATTTTTTTGTTAAACCTTTCGATGGATGACATATTTCTTTTTCGTATGATCATGTAGGCAGTAGCTAAGTTATTTGAAGCTCTGGACAGATGTGAGGCAATACTAGCTAATCAGAGGTATATCTGTGGTAACGTACTGACTGAAGCTGATATCCGCTTGTTTGTGACGCTCATAAGGTTTGACGAGGTGTGTATCTCGATAAATCCGTAATTATCTTGTGATTTCTTAAAGTCTAAATACTGAATGAACATACTTAACCCCTGTTCTCCTTTTTGTTGTAAATTATAGGTAAATTTAAATTTTAAAAAAAAACATTGGGTCATTTCCTGGAAGGCCCTCTGAACTTGTTTTCCTCAATCAATAAACCCCCTACCGTTGCCCACAAAACCCCCCCAACTTTTAACAACGTCAGTCGTGAACCATAAACTCTGTCCAGGTTAGTTGCATTTGTAGATATCTGCGTAGTGGTTCTTAAACCAACAAAATATATCTTCAATTAAATGAGTTTGGATAAGGAAACAATCTCGGAAATTAACCATGAAATTTCAAAATTCATAATATGAAAACAAAATTCAGTACAGAATATATAAGATTTGAAACTTGTGGGGGGTTTGAGTGAAAGTTTAGGGTGATTTAGTCAGAAAAACAAAGCTCCAACCCAAAGCTTTGGGGAATTTTGTGAAATTTAACCTAGTTAGTAACATATGGACATAATACTCTTTAAACACATGCTACTTCTATATGCTTAAATTTGAAGTACTTCGACTGATCACCTGTTATGTCTTATACCAAAAATGAAAAAGATTTAATTAAAAAAAAGATAAAAAACCCAGCTGATACAGTATCCTAGATGCAACAATGCATATGTATCCTTAATGGATTTCGTTTGAACATTAACTGTTGTCCGTGTACGGCTAGCTGCAAGAAAGAAGCAGCATTTGCATTTACTATCACTTCAATATCTTGAGCAAAGCTTATAACTTTCTTTTAATATATAATTCCTCTATTCTCAAAACCAGCTTTGAGTTCGTCATCAGTGTATTATATATATATGAAGAACAACCCGCTACTGTCCGAGTTCTAGCTACCTAATCTTTGTTGCATCAAATTCTTCTGAAAAACGAATTTATTCTACAAAATTCTAGCCACCTAATCATTGTTGCATCAAATTCTTCTGAATAATAATATCATTCTAAAAAATTCATGATGTCAACTTTCAATTTTCAAACATGCACACAAATATTACTGACTATCAATCCCGTTTTCCATTGATAAATTGAGTTACGACGCATTTCTGTTATCGCAGGCTTATGCAGTTCATTTCAAATGCAACAAGAAGCTAGTGCGTGAATATTCAAATTTGTTCAATTACACCAAAGACATGTACCAAATCCCGGGTTTGAGCAGCACGGTGAAAATGGACCACATCAAGAAGCACTACTATGGAAGCCATCCCCATATTAATCCCTACGGGACCATCCCTGTCGGTTCCAGCGTTGATTTCTCTTCTCCTCACGATCGAGAAAGATTTGGCAGCTAAAGCTTTTAGTTAACCAACGTTTCTGGTTTTTTATCCCTTTAGTGAATGTTCGGATGTTATCGTATTTACTTTGAACTTTCAAGTTCTTCATGTATCGTATCCAGAATTTGTTCTGAAATTTCGTGTTGAGTTCAATAGATCTCTATGCTTTGAAGGAAAAAAAAACCAACTTATTTCCTTTCAGTAACCTAGGCTGGTTAAGTATCAATGCTTCTGGATCCTATGTGTATGATTCCTTTCCATCCTGAGGTGCTTGCTTGTGATTCTTTTCCATCCTGAGGTGTTTGCTTGCCGGTGGTTGTTTGTTGGAAAAATTGCAGTAAAGAGAATAAAAGAAAATTGACTTGTATTTCTTTGATTCCGATTATAATTTGATTACAAAAGAGAAGAGAACGAATTTGGTTCTCCCCTTTGTTTAAAACTGGGTTCTTCACGGTGGCGATGGAGTTGTGAGTTGTTAATCAGTCCTAGTTAGAATAGAGTTCTAGTTAGAATAGAATACTAGTTAGGATAGTTTTTCTAGTTATTAGATAAGATTAGAGTTGTAATCTTATTCCTATATATATGTAAACAATCTTTGTAAGTAGTAGAACGAAAATAAGAAAAAAGTGAAAACTCCTCCACCGAAAACTCCCCTCTCTCTGTTTTTTTTTCCGGTTCTGTTCTATTTCCTGCAGCAACACCAGTTTCTGTTTTTTTGTATTTCCTGCAGTTCGGTTGCTACAGTGTTTACAGTTTTTCCAACTCAGTTTCAGATTTGATTCAGGCCGATCCTATTACAAATCCAACAAGTGGTATCAGAGCGGTGTATGCCTAAGTACCAACCAAGATCTGAAGAGATGACGAGTTCGGAGAAGATGACGACCAAGGTGGGTTCGCTCACTCTTCAATACCCGACGTTATCGAGGGATAACTATGCTTCGTGGGCAATCAAGATGAAAGTCTACATGAAGGCTCAAGACGTGTGGGATGCCATTGAGCCCGCGACAGGCGTGTCCGTGGAACACAGGAAGGATCAGATGGCGTTGGCGGCCATCTATCAGGGGATTCCTGAAGAGACTTTGATGGTGATCGCAGAGAAGCAAACGGCAAAAGAGGCATGGGAGACGTTGAAAACAATGCATCTAGGAGCGGATCGTGTGAGGAACGCGAAGGTGCAGACCTTGAAGTCCGAGTTCGAACTTCTCCGGATGAAGGAGAATGACAACGTCGACGATTTTTCGACGAAGTTGACAGGAGTCGTCAACAAGATCCGGGCTTTAGGCGGCGAGATGGAGGAGAACTACGTCGTTAGAAAACTACTTCGGGCGGTACCGGAGAGATTTCTTACTATCGTCTCCACGATTGAACAGTTCGGGGACATCGACGATATGACACTCGAGGAGGCGATCGGGCGTCTCAAAGCCCACGAGGAGAGGGCACGTGTTTTTCGAAACAACGTCGACGATCATCTATTGTTGACGCATGCGGAGTGGCAAGCGAGGAGCAAGAAGAACGGCGGAGGCTTCCTCTCAACACCTACAACCAATGATGGCAGCGGACGAGGTCGCGGTCGAGGAGCCGGTCGTGGGCGTGGCCGTGGCCAAAGAGGCCGAGGCGGACAGCAGCACCACGGCAGCGGGCAGCAGCACCACGCTGCCCAAGCCAGGCCGCGGAGGGAGCCACCGGCCGCCGGTTAGGCCGCCCACGCTGACTACTAAACGACGCGTGAACCACTCTCGATCACCCTGCGTGGCCGAGCCTGCGGCGGCCTTTAATTTCGCGCAACCTCGCTAGGCCGGGACGCCGATGACTGCACTCAGCGCTCCGACACCTCGTTCGTAGTACCACGGAAAGTCCTGGATCCCACCAGCGCCAGACCCGAACCCGCTCCAGCGGTTCACTCCCAATCGGGCGCCTCTCCATGGCAGCCGTGCAGCTCGCCAGGAGGGGGAGAGTAGGCACAAGCGGTGGTCGAGACAAGTCCAACATCAAATGCTTCAATTGCCGGAGTATATGGTCACTTTCAGTCGGGAGTGTCACAAGCAACGCCGCAATAATGAACAGGAGGCTCATCTCACCCGTGCATATGACGAGGAGCCAACCTTGATGATGGCTATGTTAGAGGAATCGTCAAGTGTTATTTTGCTTAATGAGGAGAAGGTGATGCCGGAGTTACTTATAGCGGGGGAGGCACGTGTTGACAACAACACTTGGTATCTTGACAACGGAGCTAGCAATCACATGACCGGCCACCGAGACAAGTTCAAGGAGCTCGACGAGAACATCAAGGGAACCGTCAAGTTTGGTGATGGATCCGCGGTAGAGATCAAGGGGAAAGGCTCTATCCTCTTTCAGTGCAACAACGGCGATCAAAGGCTACTACCTGAGGTATATTATATTCCAAGTTTGAAATCTAACATTATTAGCCTTGGTCAGATGACTGAAGATGGGAGTAAGGTTGTTATTGCTGACGAGTTCCTGAGGGTGTTTGATAGGAACGGTGCCCTCTTGATGAGGGTGACACGTTCAACTAACCGATTGTACAGGATAGAGTTAAAGACTTGCAAGCCGGCGTGTTTGATGGCGAACATTAACGATCCAGCTTGGTTATGGCATGCTCGCCTTGGGCATGTCAATTTCTTCGCCCTCAAGATGATGACTGATAAGAGGATGGCTTCCGGATTGCCGAAGATCTTGCACCCGAATCAACTATGCGAAGGATGCCTCGTCGCCAAGCAAGCAAGACTGTCGTTCCCTTCGCAAGCAAATTTCAGAGCTCAGAAGCCGCTGGAGTTACTACATGCTGACCTATGTGGTCCTATCACCCCATCCACACTTGCGGGTAACAGCTACTTCCTTCTTATTGTTGATGATTTCAGCCGATGGATGTGGGTATACATGTTGAAGGCCAAGAGTCAAGCTTGTGAAACCTTCAAGAAGTTCAAAACAGAGGTTGAGAATGCATGTGACCACAAGGTGAAGACATTGAGGACGGATCGTGGTGGCGAGTTCTTGTCAAAGGAGTTCACCAAGTTTTGTGAAGACTACGGCATCAAGCGTCATCTCACTGCACCGTACACCCCGCAGCAAAACGGTGTAGTGGAGAGGCGTAATCGCACGGTGATGGACATGGCAAGAAGCCTACTTAAGAGCATGCATATGCCTGGAACCATGTGGGGCGAAGCGGTTAGGCACGCGGTGTACATCCTCAACCGACTACCAACCAAGGCGTTGCACGACCACACACCCTACGAAGCTTGGTTTGGTAAGAAACCCCACCTAGAACACTTGAGAGTTTTTGGATGTATGGCGCATGTGAAGATTGCAGGTCCTTCTCACAAGAAACTCGACGATCGGAGCATGCCAATGGTGTATATTGGGGTAGAGGAAGGAAGCAAAGCGCATCGCCTATACGACCCTCAACATAACAAGATACGTGTCAGCAGGGATGTCGCGTTTGAGGAAGGAAAAGAGTGGGAATGGAGCGCCGATGGAGTCGAAAGATCACCCAGCTGGATGGACATAACAGTGGAAGGCGAAACTGCAGCTGTCGACACAACAACCGGCGCATTCTCTGCAGTCCAAAATGGACAGCAGACGAGAGAGCACCCAGCTGGATGGACATAACAGTGGAAGGCGAAACTGCAGCTGTCGACACAACAACCGACGCATTCTCTGCAGTCCAAAATGGACAGCAAACAGACCGATCTGCTGCAGTTTTTCCTGGACAACCTGCTGGCCGAACAGCCCCTGCAGGAAATCGTATCGCAGCGGCGCTGACCGGAGACGACCCTGGACAGCCGGCACACCGAACAGCTCCTGCAGGAGCTGCTGCTGCTGGCACTGCTGCAGGCCAAACACCCGCAAATGTTGGCACTGTTGCAGGCCGAACCAGGGGTAGTTTGCTCGCTGGTCCAGAAACTGCTGCGGAGGCAGCGAACCCCACTGTTTTGGACGCGTTCGGACCCCCTGAAGCTGCAGTTATGACTCCTGTACGCTATCGATCCCTTGCGGACATCTATGCAGAGACGGAGGTGATTGATCTCCCTGCAGAGGAGTTGTTCCTGATCACAGAAGAACCTGCAAACTACATTGAGGCCGCAACAGATCAAGAATGGCGGACTGCCATGGAAAAGGAAATGGAGGCCATCGAGAAGAACAAGACTTGGATACTCACGGAGCTACCACTTGGGTACTCACGGAGTTACCGCGGGGTTCCAAACCCATTGGTCTCAAATGGGTATACAAACTGAAGAAAGACAATGAAGGCAACATTCTCAAGCACAAAGCAAGACTTGTAGCAAAAGGGTACGTCCAGCAGCAAGGCGTGGACTTCGATGAGGTGTTTGCACCTGTGGCGAGGCTTGATACCATCAGAATAATCCTCGCTATATCAGCACAGAATGGGTGGGAGGTGCACCATCTGGATGTGAAGTCGGCATTCCTAAATAGTGATCTCCAGGAAGAAGTGTATGTGGTTCAACCTGAAGGGTTCGTTGTGAAGAATCAAGAGCACAAGGTCTACAAGCTTTCAAAGGCACTCTACGGTCTACGCCAAGCACCTCGGGCATGGAACACGCGCCTCGACAAGTGCATGAAGGGCATCGGATTTGCAAGATGCACTCAGGAGCAGGCGGTATACACAAGGAGTAATAGAGGGGATACACTCATTGTTGGTGTGTACGTGGACGACTTGATCGTTACGGGTTCGAGGGCGGATGAGATAAAGTTTTTCAAGCAACAAATGATGAAGGAGTTCGAGATGAGTGACCTTGGTTTACTTTCCTATTATCTTGGCATCGAGGTGGATCAGCGAGATGATTGTATTGCACTAAGGCAGGCGGCCTATGCGAAGAAGGTTTTGGGTCAGTTCGGCATGATGGATTGCAACCCGACGCAATATCCTATGGAAACAAAGCTAAAGCTTGGAAAGGATTCCGAAGGAACACTGGTGGACGTGGCGGAGTATAGACGCATTATCGGATCTTTGAGGTATCTAACTCACACCCGACCCGATATCACATATGCCGTGGGGATTGTGAGTAGGTACATGGAGCACCCTACAGTTTTGCATAGACAGGTTGTCAAGCATATTTTGAGGTACGTGAAGGGTACTATGTCCTACGGATTGGTGTACAAACGAGGTCGAGGCAATGAAGAGTTGGTGGGATTCACTGACAGTGATCTTGCGGGAGATGTTG